ATTGGGCACATTGGAATTGAGGACAACCTCACGGACAGCTACTAATTGGTCTCCCGGTAAACATTCGAGAGCGTTAGTGTACTTCCGCCGTTGACTTGTAATATGACGGGTCTCAAATTGAGACTCTATAGCAGCAAATCAAACTTCAGGATCGTGAGGAATAAAAGATACAGGTCGAAAGTGTATAACCTGTACGTCAGAGTCTATTACGTTAATACTATTCTTATCGTTATCCGTCATGTCAAATATATATATTAAAAATTAATATGAAAATATATGACAGACGTGGATAGATAAAGCAATAGACTCACCGAATTGCCTTCTTTGAAAGATTTGACCGAGGTTGAGGCGTGTTCCAATATTTGGCTCACCAAATGTAGCGTGGTGTCGAGTTGAGCTTGACTACGAACACCGCTACAAGACTACGTGCACATTAACCAATAAGATCCCCGTAGGCCTGCTAAATGTTACGTTATGTCTTTTATTCATATTAAATATATTGTTCCATCTATAGCCTAAGCTTGTTCTCTATCACGTATCGGTAATTGTTACAATGCAATGAATTGGTGTAGGCGATGATGTAACTTCCACGTAAGATCTTATAGATTGGGCAGTTACATCATGACAAATCTACAATTTTACAATTAAGTCTATTATTAGAGCAGTGCTAATATCATAGTAGACCATAATTCTACACTTGTTAAGGTTTGATAAAGGTTCAGAAGTTTTGAAATGTTAATGCATTCTGTATAGGAACTCGTCCATATTGCTCCATAATAATTGTCCTCTGGAACCGTGGTAGGGTCTTAAAAAATAATTCCGCCTATACCACATGCCTTCAATATTGTTTGTATGAACCCCCGTCATTGGATCGACAAAATGACGTTTGTGCACTACAACATGATGCACAAAACCAAGTCTCGAGAGGCATCTATACGCTTTCCAATCATCGGTATAGATCGTGGTGCCAGGCTGAACGTACTCCTTGATGATTGGTATTATTGTCGTAACCTTACGGTTTCTTACTCTTTGGAAATGTCTCTTCTGAGTTGAACGATCATAAAATCCAAGTACCTGTCAAGTATATTTACGGAAGTGCTACTTACCCAAACTTCCTTGATAAAACGTCCTTTGTTGTATTTTCGCTTTCTAATTACTCTCTCATCTATTTCCACTATCTTTCCAACTCCCCCAAACGATTCATGTACTTGTGTCATTTTCATTGCGCATATATCACGGCAATATTCATACCACTGAATGGCGGAAGTTTCCGTGACATCTGCAAAAGCCGCAGCTAATGTTACTGGAGACTTTATGATCCAATTCGCCACAATTATCATGATTTGTCTAAGCCTGAGCCGTGATCGCGCAAAGAAAGTGCCAGTTCGAGCCGATTTTTTTCTCCAACATATAGCAAAACGAAATACAATATCATCACGGTAGTCTGCACATCGTGCTGCAGTCATTTGATTGCCGCAGTCACAGACACAGGAACTTCTTAATAGTCCCATCTGTTGTATTCGCTCAACAATCACCTCTTCTCTGAAATCTGCTGTAAAGCGATCGAATGTGAGCGTCTCGAATCGAACTTAGCGCCGTGACCTTGAATTTCCTCAGACGCCTTTGATTGGCTCGTCCATAAATTAGAGTCCTACCGCGAAAAGTACTTTTCGTATTTTTGGTTGATCCTGACGATAAATAATGAGTAATCGCCAATATTATGTCAGCAGTCCAATAATCGGCATCTGAATAATTTTCTTTCTTTTCAATGCGTTTTGCCAGCTATCACGAAGTTTCTGTCTAGGGTTTCCTGTAACTTGTACAGCGAAATGTCGTAAACATTTCATAAACGCGCTTGAATAGGCTGTGCTTTCAAAAGACATAGTTATGTGTTAAAACAAACAAAAACAGTTAAGTTGTCGAAATATATAGATGACTGGAACAAGTAGCGAAATATTTATGCAGCATGCAATCAGGTGGTGATTTGAATCTATGTCAGTTCTTCTCCTTGTTCTCACGTCATCTACCGACTTGCATTTTTCACTGATGCAAAAATGATCAATCTGGTTCTCCATGGTGTGATCCTGTAAGACCCATGTAGCTTTATTTATGCACTTGTGTGGGAATGTTGTGCCACCTATAAGCAATTTGTTGAATGCACATAGGTTTGTAAATCTCTTTCCATTTGTGCTTCTCTCTCCAACTTCGTGCCGTACCATGATATCTTCATATCCGGTGTCATCCATTCCGATTATGGCCTTTATATCTCATATCACGATGCTGAGAACATTTCTTTGGAACTTCGCTACAATCGATTGCGGCTTCTCATGAGCTGATCTTTATTGTCGTCATTGCCATCGTTGGTCGGTGCTTAACGCTGTATAAATTTCTTCGTGATTAACACCTTCTTTGCGCTGAAGGATGTTTTGATGATTGTGGATCCGTGATATTCTCATCTCAAAATTGTTTTGTGTGTTTCTTCGGTAAGTAACTGGGAAACTTCCAAAGTGCGAGAAGAATTTTCCTCTTTGTGACTTGAGTACAGCAGCATCTCTCCCTTATCTAGCTGTTGCTGCACTTACGGAGACAGGAATTTTCTCAGGATTTTCGAAATGATCACAAGAAGAGGAGGACCGAAAAACCCACTGACAATAACACTGAATAGAGCATTGCCTAATGTTGTTCACACTGTCGAGTCGATGTTCAGAAGGAACATTCGGACTTGATTTGTTAATATGTATCCACGAAGAAAAACAGCAGAATATAATCACAATGCAAAGTAAACCGAATATTGGCTTCCTAATAAGCGAAATGTAAACTACATCCGCAACAGTCCACTAAATTCACATAGACAGCCTCTTTTCGCGCACCTGCGGCTAAATGAATTGACCGATACAGTCAATTTGGAATATCAGAATCAGCATGAAAGAAAGGATGGCTAAGCTCGAAGAAAATTAGTAAAAAGACCTTACTACCTCAGTTTCTTCTGTTTAGTCCCAGAAGCATGCCTTATTTTTCACGAGAGAAAGGTGATGTGCAGAGCCAGTCGGAAGTAGCCAAAGGAAAGTCTATGGCAATCAGAAGTGACACAACGGACAAGTGCATTTTATTGGGGTCAATGGTTAATTTCTTTAGGACAGAGTGGTATATATATATATATATATATATATATATATATATTTATATATATATGAGTACTTGTGCATTTCATTCGGTAGTTCTCGCTGTTGTTACACTGGTTGTCTTTGTTTGCGTTTGTTCACGAGTATGGGATAGAAGGGCCAGTGTGATGAACGAGAACACAAGTGGGGATAATCGAATGTATTTGACGAGGAATAACAGAACCTCTGAGAACCATACAGTAAATACTCTATTCGCAAAATGTTCATTAATTGTTTCAGACTTCATTGTCCCTGCATTTACACACCGATTGCTTTATGTTCCCATTCTTTCTTCCTCGATCTGCCCAACCTTCTGCAGCCAAGCATTCTATTCCTGACTAGCTTTGTCAACTACTTATGTCGATATCAGTGGAACGCACTATATCTGGATGGACTGATATAGGTAGTGTTTAATTAATGTCTGCAGTAGCATATGTATCAAGCATTTAGTTATTTATGTCTATTCAAAATTCATAAAAATGAATAACAGATATTGAGTGTAAGTGTGTTAACATAAGCAGGATCTCAAAAAGACAGAGATATAGTATTCTAATTCAACCACGGAAATTGATAAGTCTGCGTTTCACTATTCTGTCCTCAGTGTTGCCTTGTCAAGGTGTAGCAAATATTCATAGATCAGTATAGTAGTGAAGTATGACTGATATGTAAACTGGTAGAGATGCAAAGAAAGATGGGGAAATGATGGGGATATAATTATAAGGCATACCAGTTTTGAAGAACAGCGAAGCAGGTGGGTAGAAGACTTCAATGAACTCTTGAATCGACCAACTCCACTGAACCCACACAACATCGGAGTAGCATCGACGGACCTGCCAATCGATGTTGGCCCACTAATATTTGAAAAGATCACCATGGCCATCACAGGAATCATCAGCGGCAAAGCAGCACGATCAGACAGCATTCCAGCAGAGGCACTGAAAGCAGACGCAGCAGTAACTGCGACGATACTACATATTGTTTTCAGTAGGATTTGGGACAAAGAATAAGTACCAAGGGACTGGAAAAAAACTTTTGATCAAAATACCAAAGAAAAGCGATCACAGCAATTGTGAGAACTATAGAAGCCCCACTATTCTCTTAATAATAGGAAACATCCTCAATAGGGCATTGTTAAACAGAATGAAGGACTACGTAGACGATCTGTTGGATATCAAAGGGTGCCTGAGAAGGTAGTCAAAATCATGCTGAATTTTTATGATGAATTAAATTGTAAAATTTTGCGTGGAGGACAGCTGACCTTCTCGTTTGAAGTAAAGACCTGTGTCAGGCAAGCTGACCTACTCTCACTCTTTCTCTTCCTCCTGGTGGTCGACTGGATCATGAAGACGTCAAAATTTGTGAGGAAGCATAGGATACAGTGGACAGCTAGAATGCAGCTGGATGACCCAGACTTTGCAGTTGATCTGGCCCTTCTGTCACACACGCAACAACAACTGCAGGAGAAGACGACCAATTTAGCATCAACTCCAGCGGCAATAGATCTGAACACACATTCACAAAGGAAAAAGCAAGATTCTGTGACACAACACAGCATGCAACAATCTAATCACACCTGACGGAGAAGACTTAGAAGTTGTAAAAACCTTTACACGTGTGGGCAGCATTATTGATGAACACGGTGAATCTTATGCAGATGCGGAGGCGCCGATCGACAAAGGAAGAACAGCATATGTACAACAGAAGAACGCCTGGAACTCAAAACAATTGGCAACCATCTCGAAGGTCAAAGTTTTCAATAGGAATGTCAAGGCAGTTCTACTGTATGGGGCGGAAACGTGTAGAACTACCTAATTAACGCCGATTTTTTTCATACTTTAGCCGCGTTTGCATTAAAGATAATGCTAAATTAAAGGAACTTGGAATAAGCTGTTGTAATTATTATATATGCCAGCAATTAGAATTGTTGGCATATGAAGTGAATAAACAATGACTTTCACTTTTAGACAATAGGACATTTAATTTCAATGGTTTTCTATAGATTATTTTCCATGTATGTTTTTTGATCACTCTAATTAAACAGTTAGTGATAAACATTTGTGCGCTGAATGGAAGTAAACTTATCACTCACTTGATTTAGTGTATTTATATCTCCACAAATGAGGTTGATCTACCTTTGCATTTAGACTTGCTATGGGATTAAGTTAATTAATAAAGGCTTGTCAGAACTTATATTTTCATGTAAGTTAGATATAGTACTTTGGCGAGTAAAACATGTTGTCTACGGACGCCTAAGAGTGTTGCGTAATCTATGTAAAAGATTTCGTGTAACTATTGTTAGTTTCCAAGCCGTCTGCAAATAATCAGTCTTCAGTTGATTCTGTATATGCTTTTAGAAGTGGTGTTGAGAAAAAAACATTTCCTAAGCTCTTGTTTCCAAGGTAGTGTTCATTTTCGCATTACGGTCCGATTATTTATAGCTAAGCATAGCTTTTGTTATTGTTATTCAGTCACAAGAATTCTAACAGCATAATTTAGTGCCTAAAAACACGCTCTGTCGATAATTAGAAGTAGACATGAAAAGGATGAATGGCGACTGGAAAGAACTGGAAAGGAATACCCATGAAAGAGTTACATGGAGAATGTCGGTCGGTGGTCCATGCTCCCTGACGAGGAGTGACGGGCGTCAGTGAACAAGGAAGTGAATACTTGTCATCAGAGATCGTCGCAGCAGTTTGTAACACATTTACTTTCGTCGTTTATATTTTTTCTGAGTCGTGATTCGTGAAACGTAATTTAATAAGATCCGTGTACTGACTAATGTTAACTTGTACGCTACATATGCGCAGTTTTGACAAGCAGAATGACTGGGTGTAGATCATTGAACAACGTTTTTCAACTAATGCGAGTGGAGTATTATGCTTCTGTAAGAATATCACAAACGATATTATGGGTAGTGTTGGTTTTGAGGTATCAAATGGTAATCAATGTAATAATCAAATGAATGGTCTGCATAAAATGCATGGTAGAAGAATTTAATTTGGTTGGTGGAGTTAATGATAATCACCGTGTTAATAATGGTAGCAACAGTGATATGACTTTGATATAAATAATAACGAAGACGTCATGTGAGCATAAGAGGGATATTTCCAGAGTGATTGTGTTAAGAAATTAAAGTTAACTGAGAAAGTTAAATGTGTAACTTGAGAATGGGACAGGGTAGATGTGAACACTAGGGTAATTAGGAGATAAATGGCATACCATGCCCGGTTAAGATATTTTCCGAAGATGTTTCACAACACGTTTTGCGGGAAGATGATGGCATCTTCATAGTTTTAACTCACAAGGTGTTCGTAGTCAAACCGTCACTAGAAACGTCAGAGAACTAGATGGATCCTTCGGTCTTGTTTGTGACTTCTCTATAGTGCACATTGATGACCACTAATCCTGCGCTACAATGCACAATCTGCTTTTCAGTTATGTGTATGAACGTTTACCCATCCGAAAAATACTACTCATAAGCTCTGACATTGTTTTACACTCAACATTCAAAATGCAAAGAGCTTATAAATTTTAAGTGTTCATGCGCGTTTATCAAAAATAACCTGACTTTTTACCTTCGAGTCAACATTTCTTTGTGATAGCTCCTGATTAATTCAATTCATCCTATGAAACTCTTCAATTTGATTAAAATTCGTAGTTAACTGCACAGCTTCTGCGATTTCATTCATATTGAATTAACTCTTATTCAAATGTTGTCAATAGTTTTGATATTTAACCTGTATGAATAATACTTTGGACTCGGTAGTTTATGTGTTTATACAGCTTCAAAAAATCGAGGCAACGACTTCTGACTTGACAAAATATATCATATGCACTCATAAGACCGATGCACTGAAGAAGAGTTTCCCAATGTTACCGATTTCTTCAGGGGGTCCCAGTTTGCATGCTTGCAGTGCTTATACTGACTATCCTTTTGTAAGAAAATGCTGTCGGAAAGGTAAACAGAGAGTGAACCAACAACTATTCTACTGTCATTGCGTTCAAATTATTTGTTTACTTGTATAGACAGTGGAATGATATCTCCACAGGACATAAGGTCGAATTTACTAATGTATTTTGTTGGGCCATGGATTCACTGTGGCCAGTAGATCGTGTCCTGTGTTGCTAAGAATTGATCACCAAGTGACTGGCCTCCATCACTATTTTGGTTTGCACTAGGACAAATGAAATCTCATATGATGAAATTCCTGCTAAAATTAAGAACAGAATATTTTATAGATGCATAAATAATCAATCATTAACAGTGGCAAAAACGTCTGTGATATCTGTGACTTGATAGATTGATGTATCCAACAATACTTGTTGATGTCCACCTACAAGATTCAGAACTGGTGCCGGACAGTCCATTTCTGTTTTGTCGAGCCCTAGTAACAACATGGCACAGGTTTCGTAACCAGATACATACGGGTGTAATTTCATTATGTCCAGATTAGAACTTCTATCCATGAACGTGCGGTGAATAGCTGCCCAAAAGGACTAGAACTCAAATTCCTAATTACTTCATTCAAGAGTTGTATACTTATGATTAAACAAAACGTTTATGATAGCAATCATTTCTCTTATGTATACGCCTCCTCTCCACATTTGACAGCGACACTCAGTTCTAAGTTGAAATGATTTAATTGTAACTACGTTAATTATTTGGAAAAAATACCAATGATCTCACCGTAATGTATCAATGTTTAGAGAAAACTTAACGATCAGAGAACACTAGTGGTTGATAAGAACTGTTCACTATTCCATAAACAAATATGCCTGCCACGTGTATGTCTTTATCAGTATGTTTTCGATTATTCTGTTTAAACTCACAGTATGTATGAGTGTGCGTGCGTGTGTGCGATCATTGTAAATAATGCAATGCAGAAAGCCGACTAGTAACACCCGAATAATTTGATATGCACTCTGGTAGTTCTGCATATTACAGAATGAAGTGAAGGAAAACAAAATCAGCACAAATAGACGTATTGTAGTTGGAATTCAAACCAGGCAAGGAGTAATATTGCATAAAAACATCATCACTTGTGAAAATGCTCCAGACATCACAGAAAATGAATCAGTGATCATAGTTGCAAAGTATTTGTCGAGAAACGAATCAAAATATTCTGGATGAACTCTATGCAGAATCTGAGTTTATACTGGCGGTTGAGTTCGTTTTGAAGGATGGTTTTTCGACCTTTGAAGATTTACAGTTTTTCGCTGTGCGGCCTATATCTGAGTGTATCTCCGGTCACAAATATGTGAGCTATGCCAAGGATTTCATTTACTCAACACCGAAATGTCAACTATGGGGTTCTAGTGGAATGTCACGAACTAATGGTTTTGAAGCTGATTTATTATGCGACATACCTCACTAAATCGTGTTTAGAACGTTGAATTGGTTTCACTTCCTGCCGCGTTATCTCAATACAAGCAAACTAGACCATTCACTAAAGACGAAACCTACTCAAGACCGCATAAAATCTAAAAACGGCTCAAATAGCTTCGACAAAAAAGGGAGACAGCCATTTGTGTATCATTGTACTGTTTTCAGCACTATATATTATAGCTACAAATAATCTCGTTCCTCAGCTTCTTTCTGGACCAACTCCATTTGTTAGTTGTTTATCCACTCATACCTTGTTTGCACTTATTTTCTTTAACCTATTAGAATGCCCTTGCTTGATAACATACAACTAAACTGAGTAGTCATTCCTTAACGGTTCCTTTATGAACATTGTCTGGTCTGATTCTCGTTCTTTTCTTCTTGCACGCTTTCTCAGCCCCCTTTGAGATATGCCACTGAAAACAGATATGGAACGGGTGACTCCGTCCTTCACCATCAATAAAGCCTCAGATATTCCAAGGAGATAGAAGGTTGCGATTTCTAAAAGCTCCCATCAGTTGCACGTCGCAACGGAGCTTTCATAAAGCGCACCAACTGTGATACTGACTAAAACCATCTACACTCATATCATGAAAATGGTATGTAGTTTCATGAAAAATACAAAATGTTTATAATAGAATACAAAATGAAAATAGCGAATTCGACATGATGAAAACAAGTGATAAGACGTTGGTAAGAATCATGAATCAAAATAAGAAACTTTCTAATTTCTGATAATGCGTTAAATAGCGGTCAAACAACATCATCATGCATTATGATTCACATGGATTTCGCTTCAGAAAGTGATCAATATATAACCAGTAAATGTAAAGTGATATCGTTCAATTTCTGATTTTTGTTCTACGAAGGTGACTGTGTAACATCCTTTGAAATCTATGTTCTACAAATTATTTCACAAATAGTCAACATTGAGATTCAATGTGAAAAGACTCAGTAATACATATCAATCGGTGAACAATTACCTTTTTATCAAATATGTTAGGCGTTTTCTCATATTCAACCATAAAACACAGAATCCAACATAATCACTTACACTAACTGCTTGTCTTGGAACTCAGCTTCATCTTTCAACAACATACGATCATGTGAGTGTATTATTTAGACTGAGCATTGTAAAAAACAACTATCGGTTCTGCTTGACGAAATCCACTTCCCTTTGCGCTCAGAAGTGATATGACTAAGGACTGCAAGTGTGGTAGGTGGAACAATGAATGAGTGGATAAAAGAACAGATACACCGTCTGCCTAATAAACTCGTTTATATATCCCTGTCGAAACCAGTCAATCGTTAAGCAGAGAGACTCGAAAATTCCTCCGCAATTTTATGATGAAGAAATTCACACATCTTATTTACACGACTCGGTATACCAAGTTAGGCAAACGTAAGTGAACGTGGGTCGTGAAGTTTATTAATGGTAGAATTTAGCAAAGAAAACTGAGAAACGCCATTACGATTTCAAGAAAACAAGTCAAATTTACATTGCGATAGTAACAACAATGACGACTGTTGAATTGAATTCACAGTCACCTTGATTTAAATTCAGACAA